CCATTCCCCAACACCCAGGCGTCTCTGCAATGTTCACTTGGCTCTTTGATGCCTAAGTGGAAGGGGAAGGAGACGCCTGGGACCCAGCCAGGACATGCAGCCTGGCCCTGGGTGCTTGCTGCAGACCTGGGCAGTGAGCGATGGATGCTCCTGTGGTCTTGGCTGTCTGCCTGCGTTCCTCAGGGGGCTTCCCCACCACACAATGCCCCTCCCCGGAGGCCCCTAGCTGAGCAAGTTCCAGCCTTGCTCACTCTATGGGAGGTCACTCTCTGGGAGCACGGTGACCCTCATCCCAGAGGGATCATGTGGCTCTCGGAGACACTCCTGCACCCCCACATCCAGGGTCCTGGGCTTCCTGTCAGGAGCAATCCTGGAAGCGGCTCCCTCTGAACCCCCGTGCTCCCCACCTTGCTGAAGAACCAGTCCTCGGCGTCCTTGCGGTTCTTCTCGGCCATCTTCTCATACTGGTCACGCATCTCGGACAGGATGCGGCTCAGGTCAATGCCGGGCGCTGCGTCCATCTCCACGTTGATCTCACCACCCATCTGGCCTCGCAGGGAGCTCATCTCCTGGTTGGGGTGAGGGACAGGGAAGTGTGGTGGGCTCCAGGCCTGACCCGGTCTCAGTCCCCACCCAAGGGGTCCTCCTCTGTCCTGCCTCTTCTCTGCCCTCTGACCCTACGAATCACTAGATTGCTAGATCTGGACCCTGCCTCCACCATCAGACTGGTGGATAGGCTGATGACAGACTGATAACTGATGACAGGGCACTTCCCTCAACCAATGGGGACCTCTCTGAAGATAAAACAAAAAAATCTTTTGTTTTTGTTTTTCTTTGGTGGCCACTCTTGGCATGCTCAGGACTTACTCTTGGCTCTGTACACAGGGATCACCTCTGGTGGGATTTGGGGGACCATATGGGGTGCCAGGGGTAAAACTTAGGTTGACCACGTGCAAAGCAAATGCCCTGCTCACCAGACTATCTCTCTGACACCTAAAATCAAATTCTTACACTATACTATGCTCTCAAAATATCCCCTTTAATTCCCAACCTTCTACATGGGGTCAAAGTTGCAGGTTTGAGCCTCCTGGTCCATTCCCCCCTTAGGAGACAAACTCATCTCTGCAGGTCTGGGAAGGCCTTGGATGCCTGCAAACAGGTGGTGGCCAAAGGAGGCAGCCCTGTTCCTGGCTCAGGCCCCAGGACTCTGTACCCCTGTCCACCTGTCCTGCCCATCCCACTTGGGCACAGCCCACAGCCCTGCCACCCCCTCCACAGCCTGCCACCTGCTGCCCCGCACTCACCTCCTCATGGTTCTTGCGCAGGTAGGCCAGCTCCTCCTTCAAGTTCTCGATCTGCATCTCCAGGTCGGCCCTGGCCAGGGTCAGCTCGTCCAGCACCCGGCGCAGACCATTGGTGTCAGCCTCCACACTCATGCGCAGGGCCTGTTCCGTCTCAAACCTGCAAAAGGAACCATCGACTCCAGTCTAGACACCTGGACTGGCAGATCTGGGCGCTAGCCCAGCAGGTTGCTCCCACAGGGGCTGGAAAGCAGTGATGAGAAGAGGCAGGAAGCAGTTCCAGCTCCCTGATCCCAATCCCTGTCCCTTCTGTCTCCTGACCCCCCACCCATCCACCCTCCATCACCTGCTGAAGCCCATGACTTTCAGACTCTGCTGCCTTCTGAACTGACCTTCAGAATCTGCTGCCTTCTGAACTAAGAGGGGAGAACTTTCGCCCAACAGCTCCTGGACCTGGTTACCAGCACTCAGAGGACTCCCACCCAGCTGCCCTCCAGCCCAGCTCAGCCCCCTATGCCCACTAGCTGGGCTCACTTGGTGCGGAAGTCATCAGCCGCCAGCCGGGCGTTGTCAATCTGGAGCAGGATGCTAGCATTGTCCACACTGGCCGTGAGGATCTGGACAGACGGTAGAAATAGGGCGCTGGGTGAGGGAAGCTCAGTCCCGCCAGGACTCTCGCCGCCCTCACTCTCCCCGAGGCCAGGATGTGGCTGCCTCTCTCCAGGATGCCTCCTCCCTACCCGTTACTGCGAGTCACGGTTGGCACGGGTGGGGCCCGCCGCAGCCAGCTGAACTGAAGGGCTTTGCCTCTCCCTCACACCTGCCCCTCCATCCAGACCCAGAACCCCCTGCTGGGTTCTGTCTTCAGCCAGACGAGGCCGTGGGCTGGGCAGTCCCCGGAGAGGAAGAAGAGATGGAGCCCAGGGCTGACACAGTCCCAAAAAATCCTCGAAAGAGGTGAGAATTGTGGGTACCTCCTTTCTCCCGCCACTGGGGAGAAGGTGCCCCTGAGGGACTTCCCCAAACGGAGATGAGAGGGGCCCCAACAAAGAGTAGTTTTGAACCAGCATCCAGGGTCCTCCTACCTCGGAGCCTTGCAGACCCTGAGTTTTGGGGAAGCCCCAATTCCTAGAGGGAAGCTGAGGTGATGAGGAAGCAGAAAAATTCCCAAATAAGGTCCCAGAGGCCTCTGAGGCCCCGCCCCTCCTGCCATCTCCTCCGGGACGATGCCTTTCTTTGGAGGCTCAGTCAGACCCCTTCAAACCACGGCACCCCCAGAAAAGAAGGGCCCACAGAATCAGCTCCCCCTAGACTCAGCCTGGCCCACACAGCCATTCATCGTGACCCGAACACACAAGGGAGGAAGATGCCGCGTGAGCAGGACCCTGAGACTCTAAGCCTGAGAGTCTGGGGGTCCAGCCTGCTGTCCACACATCCCCCCAACAAAATAAAAGTGAGAACTTGGGGCCCAGGGCAGCCCCAAGGTGTCCTCCCAGACTCCAGCTTCCGAGTTGAGGCCCAGCTGTTCTGGGAGCGCTGAGCCCCTGGGAAGCCCCACGCTGCCCTGGCAGGGATGGGGGAATTCCACGAGCTCCGTCCCCACCTTGTTCTTCAGCTCCTCGATGGTGTGGTAGTAGTGGCTGTAATCGCGGGCGGGACCCGGGGCCTGCTTCTGGTACCAGTCTCGGATCTTCACTTCCAGCTCCGTGTTGGCCTCCTCCAGGGCACGCACCTTGTCCAGGTAGGAGGCCAGGCGGTCGTTGAGGTTCTGCATGGTGGCCTTCTCCCCTCCAGCCAGCAGCCCGTCGACAGCCCCGAAGCTGCTGCCATAGCCCCCACCAGACCCAAAGCTGTAGCAGCTGGAGTAGCTGCTGCTGCCCCCAAAGCCACTGCCCAGGCCGCTGGCCGAGCCCAGCCGGCAGGAGCCGGCGCCCAGGCTGCCCGACAGCCGGCAGGAGGTGCGGGACGAGCCGCCCCCCAGGCCCGACGAGCCCTTGATGGAGCTGGAGGAGGTGAACTGGCGGATGGTGGTGGTCATGGTGGCGGCAGGAAGTGAGAGGGTTCGAGGAGAGAGGCGCGAGGAGCGTGTGGCTGCCGGAGCCTGCCCGCCTCCTTTATAGGCCGACAAGTGGGCGTAGCGGATTACAACAGGCTCGCTCCTGGGTTTCCATTCCCCTGGGCTTTCATCACCCCTGGCCACCCGCCAGCTCCCAGGTGGCTGCGCGCCCCCTCCCCTCCCACTGCGGGGCTCTGCGAACCCCCGTGCTGGGCGTCTGCGTGTGCAAGTGCAGGCTCTGGTCCCAGGCAGCCCCTGGGATCCAGGCAAGCCCTGCAGCTATGCTTTCCCATGACCTAATAGGGACACGCGGGAATTAGAATGTGGCCGTCCCCAGCCTCCTGACACACCTGAGTCTGCTGGGGGAGAGGCTGGTCAGCCAGCCCCCAGCCCCAGACCTGTGCCCTCCCACCACACAAGGGGCGGGGGTGCTAGGGGACAGGGAGGGTGGAACCCAGTCCCGTGCTGCAAGTTGGCACTGCACCCACCAGGCTATACATGAAGTCTGGACAGGGATGGTGAGGTACAGGTTACCCGCATCTCAGAGGGAGCAATGGGGTAGCCCCCCAATCCCGGCTCATTCAGCTCCAGAACTTTGGGGCAGGAAGGGGCAGCTGGACCCAAGGAAAGGGGAGGACTGTGAGGGACACACCTGCTCCACATCCGTAGCTACACACACACACACACACACACACACACACACACACACACTGCTGTACCCCAAGAGGCCTGGGGGCAAGGTGGAGCCCACACCTCAAGTCCAGTCAGCCGGAAATCTTAGAAAATTTTCTGAGCACCAGCCAGCTCCCCCAGCCTCACCCAGAGGCCCCACCCCGTCCCCTGACGTATGTCCCCAGCCCCTCCCCGCCCCAGCCCCAGGTCCCAGGGTCCCCAAAGGCGCGCTGGGCGGAATGTGGTCGCGTCTCAGACTGCCGGTGCCCTGGGCTCCCCAGGCAGGCCCGGACAGCCCCTGCCAGCAGCTGAGAGAGTTCCCCAATCACCCTGCGGCTGCCAAGCCACCAAAGCAAACAGGACGCCCCCCACGCTCGCTCACCCCGCCCCACGCACACCCCCCGAGCCGGGCAGAGCCAGGCAGAGCCGGGCAGAGCCGGTCTGGTTTCCGGAACCCAGCTGGGCCGCCGCCACCTCCCCGGCCTGCCTGGACGACGCCTCGGAAAGCCCCCTGCCCAGCCTTCCTGCTCTGATCCCAGATACCCCAGGCTGGGGTTCTCCGGAAGGGGTGTGTGGGGTCCCGGGAATCACCGCCAGCCGGGACCACCAGCAGTTTCTACAAACACCCGCCCAGAGCAGGGCTGCCCCGTTCCTCCACCCTGAAACTCCTTCCCTCATGCATGGAGCGTTGAGAACAGTTGGACAGGTGAAGAGCATCCGCCTCACACCAGACACCCCACAGACTGCCCCAGCCCCCCAGGCCCATGTCAGTGACCAGACCACACCCTGAACTCCAGGCAAAGCTTTAATGACGGTATCCAGGGACAGGTCCCGGGGGCTCCCTCGAGAGGGGCTGTAGGAAGCAGCTACAGGAAGGCAGCACTGTTGGTGAGCAGCAGAGGGGCGTCCAGACAGCTGTCGCTGGCCAACTGGGTGAAGAGGTGGCTGTGGCTGCCCTTTGGTGGGGAGGCTCAGTGGGTGGAGCGGTGCACCTGCTCCCGGGATGAGACCACCTTGCCATCCTGGACCTCCTCCACGATGGTGCGCACCTGACGGCTGGTCACTGAGGCTAGGGTGGGGAGAGCACGGGGGTCTCAGTCTCCCACAAGGGAGGGTCCCCTGTCCCCTCCCACTGGGCTGGTTGGGGCAGCACTTACCTTCCCGGCTGGGCTGGGACATCAGGGAGGAGTACTGGCCAGCCAGGCTGTGGAAGGGGGTATGGGTGGGGGAGTCACTCCAGGGGGTACTAGCACTCTGGGGAGCCCTGCTGGGAGGGGGTTTGCTGGGGAGCCCCGGGTCAGGACAGAGAAGCATCAGGGAAAGAAGGGTAGCCACGGGGTCAGAGAGCACGACCCGTCCCACGGCAGGAAGAAGGAAGGGGCCAGCCCAGCCCAGCCCTGTGGTGCTGCGGCTAACCAGGCTTGACAAGGAGCCACAGAGACCCAGGTTTTCGTGTCCTGCAGGTCTCACCCAGATGTCCCATGCACCCATGCAGGAGAGCCGCTTGGATGGATGCCAGGGACCTGTGAGGGTCACCCCAGGCCAGAGAGCACCCGCCCAGGTCCCACAAAGCACCTTCTCAGCCCCGAAACCTGCCCCCTCCACACCCACTGCACAGGCCGCCCACCCAGCTCCCAGCCGAGGCACGGCGTCTCCCCGGACAGTCACCGGAGCCAGACACCGGGTCATCGCTCCTCCTCACCGCCGTGGCGTCCCGCCACCCCCACGCGCAGGCATGTGATAACACCGCATCAGCGGCATCAGCTGCTGGCCTCCCTCTGCCGCTCCAGCCCCCTCAGGAGCTGCTCCTGCCCCCACAGCCAGGAGGAAGCTTCTAGATGAGCCTGAGGAGGCCTCCCCTGCACGCTCCGCCCTCACCAGGGTCTGCACCAGCTACGGAAGAGGCTCCCACCTTTTGTGGCTGCCAGCCCCTTTAGGAACGAATGCAGGTAGTGCCCTGCTAGAAATCTATTTACTATTGTTGTTGTTGTTGCTGTTGTGTCTTTGTTTGTGGTGCTGGGAACCAGACCCCCATCACCTGCTTGCAAGCACGTCCTTTTACCACGGAGTTACCTCCCCAGCCAAATTTCCTTCTTTACGTGAACACACTGAAAGTATCTTCCGGAGCCAGAGCATTAGGGTAGTGGAGAGTGCACTCACTTTGCACACCACCAGCTCAGGTTCAATCCCTGACACCCCACATGGTCCCAAGCCCCACCAGAAGTGATCCTTGAGTGTAGACCCAAGCGTAAGCCCTGAGTACTGTCGGGTGTGGACCAAACATTAAAAATAATAATAATAATAATTTTTTTTAGAAAAAGAAGAAAGCATCTCCCGTAACTGCATCCAAAACTGTCGGGAGGTCTGGGAGGGCCCACTCTTGGGAGTTCCCCAAGTGCCAGACTTGTCCTCGGCCTCCCTGGCAGCCCCCCAGCCCATGTTCTCAGCCTTCCCTCTGCCTTGCACTCCCCTATCCCTGGGGGGTGGGGAGTGCAGCTGACCCCCACCCCACAGACCCCCACTCACTGGGCGTCCTCGCCCTCCAGCAGGCGGCGGTACGTGGCGATCTCCTGTTCCAGCCGCGACTTCACGTCCAGCAGCACCTGGTACTCATGGTTCTGCCGCTCCATGTCGCAGCGCACCTCACACAGCTGCTGCTCGATGTTGCTGATGAGGCCCTGCAGCTGGGCCAGCTGGGCGCCGTAGCGTGCCTCGGTCTCTGCCAGGCTGCCCTCCAGGGAGGCTTTCTGAGGGCGGAGACGTAACAGGCCGGGTGGGACCGAGCAAGGGGGGGACCCTTCCCCAGCTACAGCGCTCCCAGAGCGGGGGCCTCCCTGTGGGCTGAGGTCCCTACCATGCTGAGCTGGGACTGCAGCTCAATCTCCAGGTTCTGGACCGAGCGGCGCAGCTCCGTGATCTCCGAGCGGCCGCTCTGCAGTGCCTCCGTGCTGGTGGCCACCTCGCGGTTCAGCTCCTCCGTCTGCAAGGCAGGGGGAGCTGAGGGCTGCCAGAGGCTTGAGGACGAGGTGGGCAGAGAACAGGGGCCACTCCTGAGCCCTGATCGCTCCCTGCCAGACCCGCTTCCCCCAGACCTCTCCCTGTCTTCCATAGGACCCCACTGACACCCTCTGCCCCCACACAGGAACTCAGCACAGGTCACCTGGCTTCACTGTCATTTTTATCCATTCCTAAGACCGAGCTCAAAACACTGCAGCATGGAGCAATAGTAGAGTGAGGAGAGGAGGGTGCTGACCTTGCCTGCAGCTAACCCAGGTTGATCTCTGGCATCCATATAGTCCCCCAAACCTAGCCAAGAGTGATCCCTGAGTGCAGAGTCAGGAGTAAGCCCTGAGCACCATCGGGTGTGCCCCCCTAAAAAAAAGAAAAGCACTGTACCCCCGTTGCCTCTGCCTCTGACCCGGACACTGGGAATGTCCAGCAAGCTTTCTTTCTTTTTATTTATTTATTTATTTATTTTGCTTTTTGGGTCACACCCAGTGATGCACAGGGGTTACTCCTGGCTTTGCTCTCAGGAATTACTCCTAGAGGTGCTCGAAGGACCATATGCAATGCTGGGAATCGAACCTGTGTCAGCCCCATGCAAGGGAAATGCCCTACCCGCTGTGCTATCGTTCCAGCCCCCAACAAGCTTTCTAAGTGCTTGACTTCTGCCCCCAAAGACACACAGCAACACATGTACCATGGCCTACCAGCCACAGACACTGGCACTGGGCCTCACCGTCTATAGCTGGAAGGAGGAGCTGGGCCAATTGGTTTCCAAAGGTCCTTCCAGCTGGGAAGGTCCATAGAGCAACAGGTTTTCCACCACCCAGCACAGGCTGGCACACGTGGGCACACCTGCTCCCCACGGCCACCCACCTTGCTGAAGAACCAGTCCTCAGCATCCTTGCGGTTCTTCTCGGCCATCTGCTCATACTGCTCTCGCATCTCATTCAGGATGCGGCTCAGGTCCACGCCGGGAGCGGCGTCCATCTCCACACTGACGTCCCCACCGGTCTGGCCCCGGAGGGAGTTCATCTCCTGGGGGCAAAGGAGAATAAGGCTCACCTGGAGATCACGCGCGTGTGTGTGCATGCACACACACACACACACACGCATGCACACACATACACACACCGCCCCAGACCTGAGACATGGGGAGACAAACTGAGACACAGACATACAGACACTCCTGGGGCCAGCAGCCCCTCACACTGACAAGAGAATAGTCCTGCAAGGTTGTGGAGGTTCACAGTCTGCCCCAATGCCACCCATACCACCACCCTCTGGGTACAGAGGCAGGAGAGGCAGCAAGAGCCCAGCACAGCCGGGAGTGTGCCAGGTCTACCTCCTGTACCACTCTCACTATCCAAGCACACAGCCCACCGGTATGGTCAAGCCAACCCTCCTGAGCCACAGAGAGGGGACGCAGGGGGCTGAGTCCATGCTCTGCGTGCCGGAAGCCTGAGTTCCATACCCACCAGTACTACATGGTCCCCCTGCACCACCAGGGCTGGTCCCTAATCACAGAGCTGGGAAGAGCCACCCCCCACCTTTCTAACCCAGCACCATTCAGTGGGGCCCAAAATTAAAACAAAACAAAACAAAACAAAAATAATTGGTAAAAGGGAAAGAGACATGAACAAGCTGGGGGTCACCTCAGCACAAAAGACACTCTCTGGGCGCCCATGAGGGTCCCCCCAGCTCAGGTAAGCTCAGAGGTGGGCTCAGGATGGAGCTACAGGACTCACTGGTCCCCCTGCCCCAACCCCACAAGGCTGCCGACCCCATTCCTGGCTCCAGCCTTCAGTGCTCTGGTGACTTAGAATTCCAGCAAAGAGGTGGGCGAGACGGAGGAGATGGCGTGAGATCTGGGCATGGGCATGGGTCAACAGGCCGGAGCGGGGCCCCCAGTGCAGCTTTAGTGAACCCCTGAACATCTCTGCACCTCCAACCTTTCCCCATGGGGGGAGGAGCTGTGTCCCGCCACAGCGGGGCTGCTGGTATCAGCTGAGGTCATGCCCGTGAATCACCGGTAACGTGCCGTGTTCCTGGATGTTATGACTATCACTTTAATAATTCATTACGGTAATTAGCATGCATGTTCCTGGCCTGGTGCTCACACTGGTTCGCTCCTCCACGAGTTAACCGTCACCAGGCAGTGGGCTGTGCTGCATGGAATGGGGGAAGAAGCTCGGGATCCCACCCAGGGCCTTTCTGAGTCTCTCAAGAGTCTGCACCCGGTCCTGGAGAGATGGGGGTCCCCAGTCTCCTTCTTGTACGGGGGGAGAGGGGGTTCTCCCGCATTCCCTGTGCGCCCTCACCTCCTCATGGTTCTTGCGCAGGTAGGCCAGCTCCTCCTTCAGGCTCTCGATCTGCATCTCCAGGTCGGCCCTGGCCAGGGTCAGCTCGTCCAGTACCCGGCGCAGGCCATTGATGTCGGCCTCCACGCTCATGCGCAGGTTCAGCTCTGTCTCATACCTTGGAGGGTCAGATGGAGGCATGAGTGATAGGGTGCCCTGGAGGAAGGCCACCCTCCTCTTTTATACCCTCAGGGCTCTGGGCTCTGAACGGCAGAGCCAGAGCCTCCGCCAGCCCCCCACCCACCCACCCAGGGCAACCCCCAGAGCAGACGCACTTGGTGCGGAAGTCATCAGCTGCCAGGCGGGCGTTGTCAATCTGTAACACCAAGCTGGCATTGTCAATGGTGGCCGCCAGGATCTGGGGGACACAGCCAGGTCAGTGGATAAACCTCCTCAAAGTCCAGGAAGCCGCTGCCGCACCCCTTTCTGCCCTTTGGAGTGTGGGCCAGAGTGAGGACCACAGAGGCACCCCTGCTCTCCCCATTGGGCATCTCACTGGAAATCCCAGGGGCTACCAGAGGCTCCGAGGAAGGTGGGCCACTGAGGGAGAGGGCACAATGGCCAGGCGTAGGTACCAGGATCCCAGAAGAGGAACCCTATGTACCAGTCTCCCATCATGGGGTCATTGCCCAAGCCACATGGACCTCAGTCCCCCTAAACCAACTCCTGGCTCATTGGCCACCTCCTCTAGAAAGCACTCCTGGATTCCTTGCCTGGCTGAGCCCTCCTCCCCCTCCTCATGCTTCCCTGCCCTTCCACCACTTACAACACTTCTCCCCAGACCTCTCCTTCCATGACTGTATAGGTGAGTCTTTCCTCTGTGGACTCTGGGCTCCCGGGAGACAAGGCCCGCGCTGTTCTGGGAGCTTCCAACAGTGCCTGACCCAGAGTTAGCCTCGAGGAAAGATCCACTAATGAAGCCACTAGCTAACTAATGAGCCCGTGACGGGCCCGATTTTTTTTTCTTCTTCCACAGGGCCAGCTGGGTGATTGCTGTGAGAACATGGGGTTTGCGGGTGGAGAGGAGGAGGGGGGCGTGGGGGGGCTCTGGAAGGGGCAGAGAGAGGGCACCGGCACTCTCATTGGTATTGCCAGGTGAGCCACGGATGCTCTGCAGCGGCACCCATCAAGGTCCCCTGAGTCCCCTGTCAGCTGTGGAAACAACTGAGGGGGTGACTCAGAGGGGTGAGGTCTGGCATGGGGTGACTGGGAATGATGGTGCGCTGCTGGCTGACCCCAGAGCTGGGCGCGCTGACTCAGCCAGGCTCCTGGGCTCCCAGTGCCCAGCCCAGGGCCAGCACTATCTGATCTGGCAGGCCTGGGGCCAGCTTCTGGGGAAGCTGCGGGAGTTCCCTGCTCAGCGAGGGCCGGGCAGGAGCGGGCAGAGCCCCTCACGGCACAGCCCCAGGCCCAGCTCTGCCGCTGGAGATGAGCCAACCTGACCGCACTGGCCCCACCTCCAGGCCAGGCTCTTGGCTTCCTTCACCCCTTCCGGGCTCTGGGCTGCAGCCGAGCGAGACTCACCAGCCTGGGTGATACACAGACCCAGGCTCCACATGGGCAGTGCCAAGGGCAGACTCTTAGCAGGGGTACGTGTGTACATGTGTATATATGCAAATATGTGTGTGCATGTGTGTGTGCATGCATGTGTGTATGTATGTGTGTATGTGAGCATGTGTGTATGTATGTATGTGGTGTATGTATGCATGTATGCGTGTATGTGTGTCCATGAATGTGTGTATGTGTGCACGTGTGCATATGTATGTGTGTATGTGTGTATGTATGTGCGTGTATGTATGCATGTATGTGTGTGCATATGTATGTATGTGTGCACATGTGTATGTATGCATGTGCATGTGTGTGCATGTGTGTATGTGTGTCCATGAATGTGTGCATGTGTGCATATGTATATGTGTGCATGTGTGTGCATGTGTGTGCATGTGCACACACACGTTGTATGCATACGTATGCATGTGTGTGTGTGCAGAAACCCCTTCACCAGACTAGCAGCACCCCTTTCCCCTGGAGGGCAGGGATGTGGCTCGGTGGTAGAGCACGTGCCTTGGGTATGATCCCGGAACCACAAAAAAAAATCCTTCCAGTGACAAAAGAGACAGATACTCCCTTGGGGACCCCCCACCCAAGGAGAAGAACACTCGGTGTTTTCAGGGATGTTCCCTCCCACCCTGAGTGACTATTTCAGATGAGGAAGGACCCACTACAAAAGGCAGCTTGAGAATATGCTGAACTCAGTGCAAACAGAACCAAGAGCAGAATGGAGACTAAACTTTAAAGTCCTGAAGGGGTCCCACAAACTGGGGGTGAAAGACAAGCATTATCCATCCAGGAAGACTGCCTGGAAGAGGTGAGGCAGGCAGAGGGCACACCCAGAGGGGAATTAACTGGCGAGAAGACGTGTTCTGCCTCCCTGGGCTGACCACACAGACATATACCTGCAATGCCAGTTCAGACACCCCCAAGTGTGTTCCCCCAGAAAAGAGAGAAATTCCCTGTAGAGTAAGTCTGCCAGGCCAGGGAGCCATCACACATGGCAGGGTTCCAAAGCAAGTGAGAGAGTGAATAGGTGGAGGAGAGTGAGTGGTGGGTTGATGATGGATGGATGGATGGATGGATGGATGGATGGATGGATGAATGGATGGATGGGTAGAGGGTTGGATGAATGGATAGATAATGGATGGGTAGAGAGACAAGTGGAGAGAGATGGGTGTATGGATGATGGATGGATGTTGGATGAATGTTGGATGGATGTTGGATGGACGATGGATGAGTGTTGGTGGATGATGGGTGGATGTTGGATGAACGATGGGTGGATATTGGATGGATGATGGATGGACGTTAGATGGATGATGGGTGGATGGATAAGAGGGGTGGAGGAGAAACACTCACAAGTGTCCAAAGTTGGAATGGAGTGAGCCAGAGAGGCCAGAGAACAGAGAACTGGACACCCCACCTGGCCACGCAGCTCCTCAATGGTCTTGAAGTAGTGGCTGTAGTCGAGGGCTGGCCCAGGGCCCGCCTTCTTGTACCAGTCATGAATCTTCATCTCTAGGTCCGCGTTGGCCGCCTCCAAGGCATGCACCTTGTCCAGGTAGGAGGCCAGGCGGTCGTTGAGGTTCTGCATGGTCTCCTTCTCACCACCCCCCAGCAGGGCATCCGACACGCCGAAGCTGGAGCCAAAGCCTCCACCCAGGCTGCAGGTGTAGCCCCCGCCATAACCCCCTCCCAAGCCTGCTGAGAAGCGGGACGAGGTGACTGACATGTTGCCACAACTACCCGCTCCCAGGAGGCTGGGGGCCCGGCAGGCTCCCCCAAAGCGGACAGAGGACATCCGGGAAAAGCCCCCACCAGGCGCACACAGGCCCTTGACAGAGCTGGAGGAGGAGAAGTGGCGAAGGCTGGAGCTGGAGGCAGCCATGGCATCTACCGGCCAGAGCAAGGGTGAGTGGACAGAGACCCCGCACCACCACGGCCCTTTATAGCCAGGCCGAGACGGGGCTGGGCCCCAGGCCCTTGAAGTCAGAGCCAAAAACCCCAGCCGTGTAATTTGCTCCCTAGCTGTGCAGGGCCTGGGGCTCAGGCCGGACACTCGTGGCCCCTGGCCGTCCCCCTTGCCCTCCCAGCAGCCCAGGCACGTGTGCTGGGAACAAAGGTGGTGTTGGAGAGCAGCCCCAGGCCAGGGTGATTCTCAGCCCTCAGACGCAATTAGGCGGCTGAGCTCATTCCTGGGGGGAGTCTGTGAGCGGCCTGGAACAAGGCTGCACAGGCCCAGCACCCCGAGACTGGTCTGGCCCCCATGCAGAGGGTGGAGAGGTCGGGGTGACACCTCCCCCCATCCAACCAAGAGGCTCCAAGGAGACCCCAGCACACACACACACACACACACACACACACACACACACACACACACACACCTTGATGCCCTCTGACTGGAGGGCATCCCCACACACACACACACACACTCTTCTGAGACCCTTCCAAGTCTGTGGGAGGAGGCAGAGTTGTCAAGTGGGTTGGTTTGGGGGAATCCCTTAGGATCTTCCCACCAAGAGAGCTTGGAGCCTGTAAGGAAGTCGATTCTTCAGCCTCAGTTTCCTCCCTTGTTCAGCGACGTGGCTCCTGGGGAGGGTGAGAGTGGTGAGAGAATAAGGCAGAAGCTAGGAGATGTCTCTGATCCTCCCCCTGATCTAAAGAAAGTCACTTGGGAGGGACCTCCAGAGTGGCCGCGGGGGGTTGGGGGTGCCAGGGCAGCAGGATCCAGGCCCCAGGGCCTAATGAGTGCCTCACCTGCCCACGGGGAGCAGGCCACCCCACTTCCTGGCACTAGTGCCTCCCTGCCTGAGATTAGCAGCCTAATCTCAGCGGCGCTAACGATTAAGGTGCTGCCAGACTCTGGCGTCAATGTGGCCGTCTGAGGGGGCTCCGGGGCTTGGGCCAGGCCGGGCAGGAGGCCCAGGCCGGTCGGGGTGTACGGGTGGCCCCAAGCCCGGGGCGCACACACACACACACACACACACACACACACACACACTCTCAACACACACTCTTACACACACTCACACATACACATTCACACACACACACAAACTCATACATACACTTACACTCTCACATATACATTCACACACACACACACATACACACACACACACACACACATACACACACACACACACACACACACACACGGCGGGCTGGGGACGTTCCTGCTGGGGCGGCTCTGCTGGCAGCACTTCCAGCCCGGAAAAGTGGGTGTCTCTCTCTCCCTGGCCACTGTCTCCCCGCTTAAGATGGGGACACACAAGAGCTCCAGAAAGTCAGGTCAAGCCCCAGCCTTCACCTGCACCCGCCCACCTGGGAGGTGAGGGAAGGAGGAAGGTGAGCAGAGGCTCCTGGTGGGGCAGACAACAGGTCTCTGGCCAGCCAGGCCCACATCCTAGACATGGAGACCCCAGATGATCTGGTCACTTTCCAGGAGTGGCCATGGCAGAGCCCTGCTCCCTAGAGACCCTCTTCGAGGCCACCTGCTCAGCTCCAAGAAACCACTTCCTCCAGTTCGGAGCTCTAACCCAGTCTACACCCACCTCCAGAGACCCCAAACCTGAGTCTGGGGCTCTCTTAGGAGGGAGTTTCTTTTCTAATTTTTCAAAGAGGCTTTCTGGGTCACACCCAAAGATGCTCAAAAATAGTCCTGGCTCTGCATTCAGGAGCAAGGCAAACCCCCTCCCCGCTCTGGCCCTGCAGAAAGTTTCTTCAACCTTCCCATCTCCTTCCCATCACTAAAACTTCCCCACCCCCCAGCTTCACTATCTCCCCCTTCTCTCTGCCATCATGTCTGGGACTCAGTTTCCCCACACCAGTGACAGCCAGGCCCTTCAGAACCTCCTACACTTGAGGGTTCTCCCACCTACCCCGGCCAGGAGGGCTGGATGTCAGCCCACTCTGTCTGAGGGCACAGTACAGCCCACCTCCCGGTTAGTACAGGCCTCTGGAATCCTCACGTGCTGTGTGTGCTGTGGGGAAACTGAGGCTGGGGGACAGGATGTTGGGCGGGATGACCTAGCACCCCATTGCCCAGGCCCCCAGCAGCTCTGGCTCCCAGCACAGAGCCAAAGGCCGCACACGATCCTCCTGCCCGGGCCTGCCCTCCACCTCCAGCAGGGAGAGGCCCCTGGCAGCCGGAGGGGCAGCACGGGGCTAACGTCAGCAGCTCAGCGGGAGAAAGACAGCTAATCCCACAGGCTTCTGGGAGATAGTGCGGGGAGGGAGCAGAGCTGAGAGAGCCCCAGAGAGACGCCTGGGACCACTCCCAGCAATCACAGACAGAGACACACATGCATACTCACATATACACAAGCATGCCGACACATACTGGCTCATACGTGTGTGCATATATACATGTACACACAAATAGAGACACATACATATGCATCAATAGACACATGCAAGCACACAAATATTCACAGATATGCATATGTATGTACAGACATGCCTGTAGACATGGGCAACATACATATAGACACATATACATGCATACATGCAGAAACATGTATGTGGATATAAACATGGACACATGACACACACATGCAGGCACATGTGTATAGATATATACGGACATGCATGTCCATGCATATAGATATGGCCACGTAGTCGCACATACATGGATGTGTGTTCCCATGCAGTCACACGTGTGCACACTCATGTGTGCACATGCACATATACATACATGTACGTGCACACAGACACACGTACCCCGTGGCTGCCCCATACCCCCAGCTGAGCCAGAGGTCTGCTAAGGTCTCTCTAGAGGCTTCTGACTGCCATAAAGAGCGTGGGGGGAGCAGGCTGCTGGGGCTGGGACGGACTTGTAGGGGTGGGGGGGGTCCCCAGACATAAACCTCTGATGGAGGCTACAGACAATGGGGCCCCAAGCCAGGGCCACATCACTGTTAGTCGATCAGGGGATGTCACCCCACTCGCAGCTGACTGGGCACTAGCAGACCCCCGGGAGAGAGAGAGCCTGATGCAGCCAGACACCCAGGAGTCTCTAAGATGCTGGCTGAGTTGGGAGGTGACAGGGCACCCGGAAGTCTCCAGGAAGAGGACACAGGGTCCCCTGCACCAACTAAACACCGAGGTCCAGGGCGGGCCCCCAGTTAGGACCTTGCCCTGATGTCCGAGAAGACCAACCCTTCAGGGTACCCCAGAGACCCTGTCCCCACAGACTGAGCCCTGTGTGCCCCCCGGCCCCCACCTGTGGCCCCACCTGGTAAGCCCCCAGATGTGCCCCTTCTGGCCCCCTGCTGCCCTCAGCCCTCCTCCTGCTGCTGGTCTCCAGAAGCCTCCGCCCTGGGGCCTGGCCCGGTCCGCCCACGAGTGAATTGCGTCTGGCTCTGGGGGCCCGCCCGCAGCCACCTCCCAGCGCTGTGGGAGGCGCGGGACATTCCTGGGGCTCCCGGAGCCTCTGTCTGAGGCGGGGCCTCCTTGCCCCCACACACATCCCCTCCCCAGGATGGGCAAGCCGCGCCCCAGCACAGGTTTCCAGGAACTACCGGCCTGGCGTGGACCCAAGACATAGGGCACTGTCACACTAGCGCACCCCACCTTCACTGGCAGAGCCCCACCAGCAGCCGGGGCCCCTCTCCATAAAGGACATCAGCCTCAGTGGCCCCCCGCGACCTGGGGTAGGAGGAGAGGGCACGGGAGAGAGGAGGCCGGGAGCCCTGGGACTGGGCGTGGAGGAAGTCCGGGAAGGGGAGCACGTGTGGGAGCGGTTGCCGTGGCTGGAAGACTCACTTCTGCCTCCTTCCTGGCCTGAGGGTACAGGGGCTGCCCCCACTCACACACTTCCACTTTGCCCGGCAAACTCCGAGAGAAGCCAGATCAGGCGCACCCAAAGGGTTTCTGGGCACCCTCCATTGTCTCCCCACCTGCACACCCTTCACCCTATTTACTCGCACCCACTTGTACCCGCCCTTCAGGGCTCTTGTCAGGCAGGTGGGGCTCAGACCCAGAGAGACAAAGAGAGGCTGGCCTCTCCCCTCCCCAGGGAGCTGCTGAGTCTCTCCCCTCAGACTGGGAGTCTGCTGTGGGCGGGGTGAGTCTCCCCCGTCAGACTGGGAGACTGCCATGGATGGGGTGCATCTCCCCGCTCAGACTGGGAGCCTGCTGTGGGCGGGTGCGTCTCCCCATCCTAGCCTGTGTAGACATCCCCCTCCACCTGTCCTGTTGCTCCTAGCCAGCAGGAGTGAATGCTCTTGGCTTTTTGTCTCAGTGCTGAGATTCCAGAAGGAGCCTGGGGCTTGATGGGGTCTGGGGTGGGGATGAGGGAGGGAGGAGAGGAGAGGAAGCAGAGGGAGAAGGGAGAAGGCATAAGGAGCAGGAAAGAGGCAAAGGAGGACCGTGAAGACCAGGAGGAAGCCTAGAAGGATGAGAGAAGAAGAGCGAGCGGAGGGGAGGGAGGGGAGGAGGGAGGACCAGGGGAGGAGGAGGGAGGGGGGAGGACTAGGAAGACCAAGGGAGGAGGAGGGAGGGGGCAATCTGGCCAGGAGGACCAGGGCAGAATGAGGGAGGGGGAGGAGGGCCAGGAGGACCAAGGGAGGAGGCCTGGGGAGGTCCCCAGTAAGGGTGGGGGGGTCCATTCTTTCCAAGCCCCCCAGCTTCTCCCCCATATCCCTGAAGCTGCACCTCCCCAAGAAGTTCCCCTTCAGCTTCCCCCTCGCACCAGGGTTGATGTTCAGCCTTGCAGGGGTGCCTCACTTTCACCAGTAGAGGCCAGGGGGCCGACTCCTGAGGTTCCTCAACCCCCGGGTGTGTGATCTGGAATCCAGACCCCCACCCCACAATGCAAAGACCCGGATCCCAGGAGGACGAGCTCCAAAGTCAACAAGGGCCAGAATTAAGAACCCCCAAGAGGGG